AGCTGAAAACACGATATAGGAAGCATCGAAGTTGGATCAAAAGACTCATTTCGCCATTCCGCTTTCGATTCTGCCGCTTCGTCAAACTTGAAAAGTTCGACACTGAACGCGTCCTATCCCAAGGCGACGATCTTCCCAATCACCCCGGCTTCGAGAACGACTACGAATACGCCCCGAAACCAGGCACGATTCCCATGATATCCCCTAAGATATTCGCAGTCTGCCTCAAGGCTTGCGACATGAATTGCGGGTGGCGATTGCTCAACCCATGGCATGACTGCGTAAGTCTACCATGTCGCCCGTACAGACTAAGCTGTATACCAAAGAAGAAAAGCGAGTTCGATATACAATCCGACGACGCCATCGCCGTTGCTTGGGGACTAGAAGCTGACCATGCAATCTCCTTCGCTTTCATGGCAGTCTATCACCTCGTCCCATTACTTGCCGCATTCGGCTTCTGGATCTATTGGCTGATCAAGTTCCCTGGCGATTGGCAAAACGCAGCTGTGCCAGTGCTGACTGTATTGGCAATCTTTGCAGTATTGTGGGTGCCTTTTGGCAAACATCTTGGGATAGTCTAGCTCTGACCAACTATCCCGCCTTGCTATAACCCAGTTCACTCCAATCGCTTGAGACTAGGTAGATATTCGCTGTCTAATAGAGCGCTATGATACGAGGAATGGCATAGAGTAATTGTCGGGAATCTCAAGCGACATTGGCATCATGCGCACCTGGTGAGGGATCGCAATACAGTGATATTTCCACCGCACAAGCCCCTTACGGATCTGCTCTAGGCCCGTTCATGCACACAAAGACCATGGTGATCAGTTCGATGTACCGCCACAACTAAGCGATCACACAACCGCGCGTCGCATAATGTTACTGGGGTAGTCCAAGCCCAGCGCCACCAATGCTTGCAACAAAGCCATCTCAGCCGTCTTACAACGGGAAACGAACGCGTGGGGGCACCCGAGCCGAACGTGCATGAGCCAGGCGTACACGGTGGCTTTGTGTGCTGCATGCAATAATTCATTGGGACAAGGTGCATGGCATGTCACAGCAGTGTCACCGCGGAGATGGTTAGAAACACGTGCATCGGAGCAAGGCGATGATAAGATAACGTCTTACTTCCAAGGTTGCTTCACCCGCCACCCACGCCGAAACGAGTTCGCAAAGTATTGAGCCGCCGCAGCGTTTCCGGCATGTCGTTATTGCCGCTCTCGGTGCGCGTTAATCGGTAAGCCGCGTAATCTCGGTTTTCTTGGAGCAGGGTGTCGATGAGGGTGAAGTCGCCAATCACGCATTGACCCGAACTGAGAAGCTCCATAGCGTCGGCATGGCCAGATTCGGAGGATGATGGTAGTAGGGCGTCTTCTTCGTTTTCGGGATCCATGCCAAAGTCTGACAGCGTATCGGTTCGGTGTAACACACCTCGCTCCTCATCATCGGCATCCTGATCTCGGTTCGCATTATCATTCGTCGCGGCTGCCGTCGCTGTCGGTGCCGAGTCTGACGTGGCTCGGGTGGTAGTGGTGTTTGGTGCACCCCCACCAGCTGACAGTTTGGCCAGTTTCTTCTTCAGCTCCCGCCTCTTGACGTGTACCGAGACCATGACAAGCTGCAGGAACAGGATGCATATGTCGAGCGCCCCAAGCTTCCACTTGCTCGTGGGCCCCTGCTGCCCGATGAAATCTATCATCAAGCCGCCGTGCAGATAGCCTCGGGTGTCTTCGCCAGCCGACGGCGCGGGATATGTAAGATGTAAGAGGAAATTTACTCCAAACGATATCAGTAGCAGCGGGAGGAAGGGCCTCGGTTCGTCTGGTGGGCGGGTGACGGTCGCGGTGTCGGGGATGGGCGTCAGCAGGAAGGCATGCGTAAAGGCCTTAAACAGAAGCCAGAAGAACGAGCAGCTGCGGACTTGATTAGCGCAATGTAGCGATATGTAAACAGTAAGCGTACTCCAGGTGGTAGAGTGTAATGAGTTCCAAGTAGACGATCATGTCCAATTCCCGCAACAGCTCGCCCAGCATCTGTATGCGCTTCCTCTTCGCATCCAATTTCCTCTGCTTAATCTGCTTCTGCTTCTCTTGCTCTTCTGCCTCTTCAAAGCGGGCCAGCGCATCCTCTAAATCGGCCAAGTGGGATGCCGCGGTATTGTCATGGCGCTGAGTAGCTCGAGACGACTCGGCCTCATCGTTCATGGCGCAGCGAGGGGAGTTTGCCTGTCGCCTCGTCTCTCATTGAAGGCGACGTTGTGGTTTGGAGTGGTTAGAGATGCTTGACCCGGGCTGTCGTGGTTCGCGCAGCTCTGGTGATGTAGTTGTAGGCACCACTCGCGCGCATCGGGCCTGGAACATCAGGAAGGGCCGATGGCCGAAGTGGTGAGATAATCGATTGCTCCGCATCTTGAAGCCATACACAACCCACTCTATACCTGTTATAGCGCTTCCAGGGCTTCTGTATAGCTTCAATCTGCGCATTCAGAGCTAGCGCTATCTTCTCAATCTGCGGGTTCATGTAACGACCCTGTCATTGTGCACTTCTACCCACGCGACACTTCCGCCGCCTCCGCATCTGCATCTGCATACTACCCGCCATGTCTTTCGGACCACCAAACAGCGCGCCGCTGCCGTCTTCTTTCGACGAGAATGCGTATGTAGACCCAATCTCTCATTTAGCCAATCTCGAGGATTACATAAGATACATGTACTAACTACGTCATCCAGCGACTTCTACAATGAGAACACCCTCGACAAGATATGGCGTCGCTTCCGCGAAGAGCCCCTCGTCCCCCTCGGCTGCGGCCTAACCGTCTGGGCCATTATCGGCGCAACCCGCTCGATGCGAAAAGGCGACCACAAGGCGACCAACATGTACTTCCGCCGACGTCTATATGCCCAAGCCTTCACAATCGCCGTACTAGTAGCAGGAAACATGTACTGGCAAAAGGATCGCGTGAAGAGGAAGGAGTACGAGAAGCAGGTTGCACAGAAGGAGCGCATGGACAAGAGAGACAGGTGGCTGAGGGAGTTGGAGATGCGAGACGAGGAAGACAAGGCCTGGAAGGACAGAATGGCTAAGAAGGCGAGGGGAGTGGGAGAGGAGGCCAAGGGTGTGACTGATATGGTCGCTGAGAAGACGAAGGAGTTGAAAGATAAGACTGTCGGAAAATAAATCCACAAAGTCACGGAGAACTTGACTACCATGAGGAACCTTTCGATCAAGAGAAGGGACCGTGAAGAGATGCACTGGGCTTCTTGTTACGATTTGGACGACACACCTTCGTTGTATATACACCACATATTGTACGAGCATGACCTGGGAATTTGGAAGTAGTCCGTCTGTCACTACACGAACACCTGCGCTTCACGCGCTACGAGGCTGTGGTATTAGCCACAGGTGCAACCTTTTGTAACATAAAACGATATAACATACCCATCGAATATTTCAGGAGTTAGTATTATGTCATTCACCACTTCGAAATCACATTCAACACTTCACTTCCACAGAATCAAGCGTGGCAAGCACCAGTCATGATTTGTTCATCACTTTATCTGACGAGGCAGATCGTGCAAGGCATGGAGTTCAAGATTGCTCTTCATTCAACGCGCTTGAAGTGTTCGTCAGTCTATTTATCTGCCTTCCACCACGACCTCTAGTATCTTCCCCAAGACTGCTGAAATCCTAGATAGCCATGTCCACTACCCCAGCAAACAACCACCCCTGCTGCACGCAGTGCTCCACACCCCGAACCTACACACAATTCCTCGCACACCACACATCCACCAAGCAGCTAGACCTATTCTCAGAACAAGACACATGCGCCATCTGCCAGCTCCCCTACGGCAGCTCGAACCTCGCCCTCCAAATGATCGACAAACCGCTCGCCATCACAAACCTCTCCGGCTGCACGCACATCCTCGGATCCGCTTGTATCCACCAAATGAGCCTCGACACCTCATCCGGGTCTTCGCGGCGCTGTCCCCTCTGCCGAACAGAATGGTGGAAACAACCAGATTACTATTCCGACAACGTCAGCGAGAGGGATAAACACGATATCTCAGAAGCCATAGCCAGATGTTGGCAAACGGATTATAGTACTGCGAGGTACCATATTTATGGGGAGCCGGAGTATGCTGACGTGTATCCGCCACGCGCGCTAGATGAGCTGCAGCAGAAATTGGATTTTAAGAGGAGGATTGGTCATGCTGTTAGGACGGAGTTGATTGAGAAGAGGATACAGGATTTGAGGAAAGAGTCGGCTGTTGAGTTGGGTGATTTAACTTATGATCCGTATAAGGTTCTGAGGGGTAACGTGATGGTCGATCCGTTTATGTTTAACAATTACCACTTGCGAGTACCGGATTTGGGATTCGCTGTCTTCAGGACGCTAGTTTCGACACGGGGGATTCGGTTTCTGGAGATGTATCGCGATGCGACGCGCGGGAAGCATAAGATTGGGGATGTTTCTAGTTTGCTGGCTGTTGAGAACGAATGGATGAAGATGTTTCCGAAGGATGAAAGGGATTGGGTTAGACTGATACTTCATGTGCTGTGGATAGCGGATCTGGATGATCCAGAGGATATAGAGGACCCAGAGCTTATAGAAGATCCAGAGGTTGTAGTGGATCCAGAAGTTGAGGTTCCAAAGACCAAGCGGAGATGGAGGATGCTGTTGCGCAGGAGAAAGGTCCGTTAGTATGGCTGCTTGCATGTGTAAGTCTTCCAAGGTTGCAGAGAGACGCAATGATCAAAGTATTTTCATCATTGTGAGTATGCTTATCGACTACGGCTCAATATGACCTCGAGACTGATACATGATAATCAGTTGTGAATCTAGGGATGTCGCTCTCCACGCGTGTGAGTTGAGTCGACGAGGGAAGGCATGGGCAACTAGCGCCGGAACATGCCGGTCGAAGTCTTGGCAAAGGACACGCTTACGTCTGTGTCGGCGCAACATTGACAGTTCCGCGTTCACTCTCTCCGAATCAGCAACGATGAGGGTTCTTCAAGGCTTCGTTTCCTCCCTTTTGCTTTCGAGCGCGGCTATTGTCTCCGCAGCTTCTTCATGGAGCTTTGAGGATGCCACCGTGACTATTACCAGCAAAGGTGCTGGTGTTGGCGGAGGTTCAAAGGACAAGTGAGCTTAAGCTTGTGTTATGTGCAATTATTGCAGGGCTAATTGGCGTCTAGACTGAGTCCTTCGACACCGCTGGGCAAATCTGTATCGTTTGGCGCAACGGATACATTGAAGCTTGTCCTCACAACCCTCGATGGAACCACCGCGAAGCGACCTCATCAGGCATTCCTTACTCTGACTGAACCGACGACGGGCTTGGAAGAGTCTTTTGTATTCAATGTGAAGGATAGTGGCAAGGGAAAGGTCGATTTGGTAGGCTGAGCGTTGCAATGGCTGCCAGCACAGCTAACACACCCAGTCTCACAAAGACCTACCCCACCAATTCCTGACATCCGAGAAACCAATCGTCGCATCGATTGTTCTTGGATCATTCGGCTCTTCTGCGCCATACAAGAGCAAAGCGTTTGACCTCGCCGTTTCCCGCGACCCCAGCGTCCCTCTCAGCGTCCCCGAGCCGCCCGTCCGCTACGCCGCCGAGTCTGAGATCCACCACATCTTCAAGGATGACCCCAAGTCTCCACCCAAGATTATAACGATTGTGTTCGCGGCTGCTGTTGCCGCTGTGCTGCCCATCCTTCTCGGTGTATGGGCTACGCTGGGCGCGAATGCCAGCCACCTGAGCAAGGCGCTGGGCAACGCACCCGTGTCGCATGGGCTGTTCTATGGTTCCATACTGGCGATGGAGGGCATTTTCTTCCTGTACTACACCACCTGGAACCTCTTCCAGACTCTGCCGGCTGCTGCCGTTGTAGGAGTTGTTGCTTTCCTGAGTGGTAGCCGGGCTTTGTCTGAGGTCCAAGAGCGGAGGCTAGCTGGGCAAAGATAAGTAGAGCCAACTTTGGGTATGTTCACTTACATCGAATACAAAACCTCACGGCTATGAGGGAAAACAAGAGGGGCAAAATATCACTGTAAGATCTAAGGATGCGCGATGGTGTAGAGAAGACTATAGCATGTATTTGCAGTCATCCGCCATAGGAAATATAGGCTGTGGCCATTGCAACACTGGAAAATCTATGCGTGATTGCTAACTTACTCTCGTATTGTCCCCTAACCTCGTATAGGTTCGCTGAAATCATAGCCTCAAATTTGGGGGCCGTATGTAAATACTTAGTGCGATTGGCTGCCGTGTTTTCCATGTGCAGCCTCCTTTTCGCAGCGGCTTGGAGAAGGCGCAGCTCTGCTCAGCCGCAACCTGCACCTGCGTCCCCCATCACTACAACACATCGATGTTACCTACAGCCAGCTTTTTCGAGCTCACCACATACATCTTCCTGTAATCGCATCTTGCGGCGTTCCAGTGGCCATGGACACTGTTGATGATGTACACACAGGAGCACAAGAGACGCAAGGCTGGGACAACACGTCGACCTCTCTTTATGCGGACGAGACACTTGTTGAGCATATAGCACCCTCCAGCAGAGATCAGGTCAATATCCAGGATTGGTCTAAATTGGACAGGGGATCTCATATCGACTTCGGCGACGAAGAGACTGTTCCTATTGTACAAGGTAAGTACATATGCAGGGCTTTCTTGGTACCAGGACCCTAACTCGAGCATGATCAGGACGATTCCTCGGCCGAGGAGCAATGAGCGACGTTTATGAGACGACTATTCAAGGCTACAAAGTCGCTCACAAGAGGACACTCTTCAGACGACGTATTGGAGAGAGAGAAAGAAAAGAGGTCGAAATACTAAAGCGATTGTCTCACGTGCACATCGTGCAGCTCATCGGAACATACGTCCAGCGAAAGCATTTGGGTATTCTCCTGTACCCGGTGGCTACATGCGACTTACATACCTTCTTCGAAGATGTCGAGGCTTGGTCCAAGGTTGTAGCTGCGGATGAGAGTGGATCATCTGGGACGCGACGTGGCTCTCTCGACTCCGACGTGAAAACTCGATTAGAAGCTCTCCATTATGATTTCCCAGAAAGTGGCGGAGGTAGCTGGGCGTCCATCGTTTATTCCAGGATCGGCTGCCTTGTGTCCGCAATCGCCTATTTGCACGATAAGCAGATTAGACACAAGGATCTGAAACCATCTAACATACTTCTTTCGGCAGGTCGATTGTGGTTGACAGACTTCGGTAGTTCAACAGACTTTACACTGCTTTCGCAGAGCGCGACGGACAATGAACGCGGAACCCCCCGTTATTTTGCTCCAGAGTAAGCTTATCGACACCGCATCTTATCCAGCAAGTACTGATCAGACCGTTAGAGTAGCTGCATGGAAGCCGAGTGGACGAGCAGCAGACATGTTCTCTTTGGGTTGTGTTCTCCTCGAAATCCTCTCCGTGCATAGAAGAGGCTCGCTACAGCTCTTAAGAACACATCGAGGAGTCGACCCTGCCTTCCATGCAAACACAAAGCATAAGTCAACGTGGCTGGAAACTGACAGTGAAGATTGCACCCGCAGAGAAGACTATTTGGAATACGCGATCAGCCGCATGCTTTCAACGAGACCCAAACGCCGACCAAAAGCTATCGAGCTTCTGCATGGCATCGTAGCCTACGATTCGTACCGAAGTGAAGGATCAACGCCATCTGTCTTTGGCCACTGTTGTAAGAGGACATTGGTTGCACGAAACCTTTATCATGACATGGTAATAGATGCTGCAAGAGCTGCAAAGCGGATAGGAGAGCTCGAAAGACAGCTGGCTGAGGCTAAGAAAAACAAGACTGGATATGAGCCGCAAAGAGACGACGTACTGAAAGCATTACATTTATCACATCAAAGGGAGCTGGAAAGAGAGCAAAAAGAGCAGGTTCGCCTGAGGCGTGCATGGCATGGCCATTTTGCGCAGTTGCAAGCAAACCAAGAAGTTGATTTCATGCAATGTCGAAAAGAGCTTGAAAAGGAAATGCGTCTTCGTGACAAGGTTGAGGCGCAACTGTGGGGAGAACTAAAGCAACGTCGAGAGAAAGAAGACATGCGTGTTGATAAGGTACGAGCGCAGATTGCAACGTTTCCAGATTCAAACGAATCCGAAAGCCACACCTCGAACGCAGAAATTGTGGATGCCGCCGAGACAGGGCTCGAGAAGAATTACGATGGGCCCAGCGGGAACGATTCGATAAATCAGTGGACTGAATACAAACCGACCTCTACGGCTCGCAGGGATGCGAATTGGTTTGCGGTTAAATGGGTAAGCAAACAAGCCATAGTTTCCGATGACCTTCCGGCAAGCCATGACACAACACTCCCTGAAGGAAATGAACGAGGCACCATACCAGACATACTGAAGTTTCAGCGCGAACTCAAGGAGGACCTCCACCAAGTGGAAACCATCGCTGGTATCCATAATGATGTGGATCATGCTTCGACACGTGTAATGTCGGGTGTGCCTAAGAAGCTGCGGAGGCGCCCAGTGCCAGAAATTCGAGTCACGTACGATATGCACAATCTCAGTACAGACAAACTTTCAACCCAAAGTAAGATGACTGAAGCGGGTAACGCTTCTAGTGACAGTCAAACACCTAAAGAAGTGTCACGTCGTGGTCCTGAGAGACGCGAAGAGCGTAGAAAGATGAGCAGTGCCAGTGGTACCGTGCAAGCTGGTCAGATAAGCCATACTGGGGATTGAGAGGTCTCAACTGCATACGATTTTGTTAAGACGCATCCATACTTACTGCGTCTCACGCTGATATCTCTTCCCTACATCCAGCTCAGCAATCCCTCAACATTCTCCCGCCCAACAATGCCCTCATCGACCATCTGCTCCAAAACTTTCGGTACATCCGCAGTCCTACCCTTCCAAGTATCCTTCGTCATCTCCGAGCCACTCGCCACCGCCTTCAGTATCTCCGCTACAACCGCTTTGGCATCCGCTGTGCTGCGCACTCCAGCCGCACCAGCTTTATCCGCATAGCTCCTCCCTCCTCGGTAGAAGACACCAGCATTGGAGGCCAGAGTCGGTCCGCTCTTCGCCCAAGCAGGCTTTGCACCCTCGAAGAGCGAGATGCGAAAGCGGAAGAGATCGGTGTCACCTCTTGCTATGAAGACATCGGCCAGTCGCGATGGAGATAGAATGGAAGTGTAGGGTGCGCCGGATAGTTTGGTGAGCAGATTCTGGGTCTGCGTGAGAGCTGTCCATTGGATATCGACGTCTGTGCGAAATGTGGGTTCTGATGGTGTATATTGGGCTCCATCTGCTAGTGCTGAAGCGAGATCCATGAGCGCATCCGCATATGCGGACTGTACGTTGATTCCCGCGAGATCGGGACTCGCGTTCTGCGTCGCGGTTTGTACTAGACTGCTGAATATCCGCTCTACAGTTCCCGCGTACTCTGTCGAAGTGGTTCTGTCACTGCGGTATTGCATCTCCGCGACGCTAGCTTGGAAATTCGCAGCCGCGAGTATTGCATCGTCTTTGGGTGTTGTGGTTGCGTCTTCTGGGGCGGATATGGACAGTGTAGGACCTGCTTTGGGCTCATCGACAGCTTTGGGATCGGGCGACTTTTCGATGAGGTCGATGAGTGTTGGGATCTTGTTAGTAGCTGTATCTATCCCGTCCTGCGCTTTCTTCTCTATACTTGATAGATCTGTAGCGGGGTTGTATAGCCCTAGTAATGTCGTCAAGGCACTGAGCTGCGCTGTGCATGTCTCTAGGATGCTTGTCGGTGTTAGAGGTTCTTCAACAGTAGCCCAGTCTCCCGGTGTTTCAGAAGCCCCTGATTCGGTCTCCATGTCTTGTTCCTGAGTCTCCGCTGGCTGTTGACGTTCACCCTCCCAGGCATCCTTGTACTCTCCTGAGGCCTCGATTTTGGCAATTTCGGCCTGCATCTGAGAGTACTCTTGCTGCTGGCTCTCTAAGCATTTCGTGAGGATACCAAACGCCTCTTCAAGCAGCGGTCTCGCGTCTTGCTTTCCGGCTGCCGGTGAGCTGGCTTCCAAACCGGCCTCTGCTAATGAGGTAAGTACTTGCGCAGCGTTGAAAAGAATGTCGGTGTTTGTGGGATTCAGTGAGATTGCGTAGCGATGCGACATCAAAGTCTCCTCTAGCAGCGCAGTTCTGTTTCCGAAATGTGGAACAATGCGCTCATCTTCTGAGATGGTGTACTGCAGGTTCGCTCTAGTACTGTTAGCATTGCGCGAATGAGCGAAAAGGACGACCGCTCACTTGTTGTATGCAAGATCGAATGACTGGGGATGACGTTTCAAGCCCTCATTGTATGCGTCTATCGCTCGATTGAAGAAGCGAACGGCTTTCGCGGCGTCTCCTGCACGCCATTTCCCTGCCGCCTGTTCGAATTCGTCCGCAGCTTCGAGGAAGTCGTTCTCTGTCTCCGGCTCCGGCGGCTTGACCTTGCCCTTTGGCTTCGGCTTCAAGAATTTCTTCGGCGGCATACTGATGATCGAGTGTAGTAGTGAAGAAGTTGATGAGCAATAATCTAGAAAGTGGTGTTGTCATAAACTCAGATATGCGTAGGTAACCGATGTTCAAGTGGCAAATTTGCGCAATCGCGTTTGACGATTGCTAAGCAAATGCAGTGTGGTGCGCAGAAGACGACTTCCAATGTTTTGCGCAAGCCTTGAGAGAACAGCACCTGCCACCAATGCATTCCTTCCCGCTATGTTGGCTGCACCAAAACTTTCTGATTGATCGCCCCGCCCCCACTTGCCTCAGCCTCGCGAACGCGACTTTCCACGCTTCCACACCTCCATCACCATTACCTTAACTTTTCCACGTCAAAGTCATCCCACAACAATGTCTTATCGGCCAAGAACCCATCTGCGTTGAACAAGACCCCTTCTTCTTTCAGCAGCTGCAACTTTGAATCTTGGTTCTGCCCACTGGGCGCTTTCTCCCAGTCGCCCTTGTAC